ATATATATATATATATATATATATATCCTATATATATATATATATATTATTTATTTTTTATTTTTTTACTTTATTTTTGTAGTTTTATCAGTTTGGTTGCAACATTTAAACATTTTAGTTGTCTAAGACTTCTAGAAATCTAAACTGTTTAAAACGATGTTATATAATAAAAGAGAAACTTTTTTGATGCTACAAACTCTGACTTTAGGTTTAATATACTTAAACTGTTATTGTACATTCATAAATGAAGGTAAATTGTTATTTACTTCTTTTGGGCGCAAACACATTTAAATGTATTTTATGTAAGACGCTGTAGTGTAATATATCTTTGAGTTCGTCAGGAACACAACTGGCTCAATTATTACTCCCTCTGGAAACATTTTGACTGAGGTGTAGTACAAAATAATAAACCAAAACAGTAGATATTTATATTATCATTATTCTTCCAGGGCTCTACGCCTCCAATGACAGTATTTAAAGGAAACAAGCGGCCATACCAGAAGGACTGTGTGCTCATCATTAATCATGACACAGGTGAATTTGTACTGGAGAAGCTCAGCAGCAACATTCAGGTCAAGAAAACAAGGTGAGAGATCTATAACAATGAAAACTCTTTGTAAATGTGATTATGAAACCTGCTGAAACAAATATTTTACCGCCACAACCAAGATAGTATTTATTATGATACATAAGCAGAAAGAACTAATAGTTGGTACCATGTCTGGATGCCTGCTTGTTTGGTTCGTGCTTTGAGGACTCAAAATCAGCTGATTTATGAGCTAAACCGTAAGATGGAAGTGATTTGTGAGAATCGCAGGCCACCTGCGGCTTTGGGACTCACCAGTATGAAACAACCTTGGAGGGGCTCATAAGCACGGACCAGTAGAATGCACCCTAATCTGGCCATTCCGGATCTTGAATGTACCAGTAAGACTCAAGGCTGACAAGAAAAGTAGTCTGCCTGAAAAAAATCAACAATTGTGGCTCATCTGAATCTGACTCCTCCGGTTGGCCTCAAAAACAGGCCGACATATCAGTTTCTCCTGGGAAATGTATAAACTAAGGAAAAGCTGTGTCCATCGCATAAATAAAGCTTATTTTGTTTCTGATTCTGATGTGTTTATTTTGCAGAGCGGAGGGCAGCAGTAAAATCCAGGCTCGAATCGAGCAACAGTCAGTTCGTTCCTCGCAGCCCAGCTCTCAGTTCCGAGCCCCAACCAAGCCCGGGACTGGGATCAGAAACTCACCCTCCCAATCTAAAGACAACCCCTCCCCAGAGCCTCAGCTTGATGACATCAAGAGAGGTGAGGGAGTTCAGTCAGACTCAGGCTCTTTGAAACAAAGTGTGCTTACACAGATATAACAAGCGACTACTCTGTCATGTTTTAAACTGATGCTGCCTGAATCTTTAAAAACGTAACTTCTTTGGCAGCTGACAGCTGTAATGGACTAACTGGACTGATGGAAATGTTGAATGAAGGTGTGATATGTTAAACTAGTAAACATTAACCTCGCTGACTTCCTGTTGCTGTGGACAGAGCTGCGAGCGGAGGTGGAGGTGATCGAGCAGATGAGCAGCAGCGGCAGCAGCAGCTCGTCTGATTCAGCCAGCGCCTCTGGGAGCGGCGACGACAGCAGCAGCAGTGACGGTGAGCACGATGCCCCGCGACCGCTCAGCCAGACCTCCCCCAGCCGCACCCCCATGGTCAACGGAGGAGGAGACAGACAGCAGGGCAACAACCAGCTCATGAACACACTCCGTAAGTGTCTCAGCTTAAACTATTAGGAGACAGAATTCAGTCTTTTTGTATCATTTTAGAATTTTATCAGTGACCGCTCTTTAACAGACAGAATCTGCCCAATAAATTCATATTCTTCAGTTTCTTTTTACTATTTTAAAAGTAATTCAGGTGATTCTTATCCACACATTTCTTTGCCACATTATCATGTTACTAGCTGAACTAATTACTGTCACCGTTCTCCAGGTTTAGAGATATTTTAAAACGATTAATAGTTGATAAAAAATAGTGTTTTCTCACATTTTTCTGTTTTTTGTCTTCACAGGAAATGATCTTCTGCTCAGTGAGTCGGGCAGCGACAGTGATGACAACTGAACTCTCCTGGTCAGTCCTCCATGCTCCTCTTCCTCCTCCTCCTCCTCCTCCTGCTTGATTTATTTGTTCAGTTGCTGTGAAAGATGACCTCAGCTTTATTTTTTTAATTTGACTTTATTTTTTTTACATTTTATTTTAGTATAACTTCAAAGATGGCCAGTCAGAAGCATTAAGGTAGTATTTTATTAGATGTATATTTTGTTTTAGTAAAGTAAAAATAGAAAAGGTTTGATTTCTTAAGAAGAATTTGCAGATGGAAGATTATATATAGTGATCATACATATTTTAAGTACTTAAAACACTAGTTTTATGTAGAGAATGTATTTGTTTTATTGGCTTTTCTTTTTAAGGCTAAATAGAATGTCTTAAAAATCTCCTTAAGTGCTCTCCCCTTTTGTCAAAAAGCTATGAAGTCCATATTATTCATAGTTTTATCAGTTTGCTAAGAACCCCAAAAAACTACAGTTTTCTGCAAATGAGAACATTTTAAAGATGAACAATTTTTAAAAATTGTTTCTTTTATCTTGATTGACAAGAGAAACTCCATTTTATTAAACCTAGTTATAGTCACTTTGCAAAAGTTTGGGTAATGTTTGAATTTTATAGCAAGTTCAAACTTGATCTAATACCTGGCAAGCATCTATCAGTTCCCACAATTAAAATAATGAAAAATGGTTTTAGTAGTCTTTGAAAACCTTTTAAACAGCTCTACATTTTTGGACATTGTTTATAAATCTGACTAATCCCAGGTGAAGTGGCCAGTTGCATTGAAAACGTAAAAACCATCACTTTACAAAGTGAAACTTTGTTTTTCTGCCACAAGAGGACAGAAAAGACTCGTGTACAGAAACACTGACGTGTGTGCACTGTGGAAGCAAAAACACAACAATGACTTTAATGATGAAATAGGTCTGACTGAATTCAACATTTGTTTAGTTTCCAACAACATCTGAGAGAAGTGTTGGGACTTTTTAAAACAATCTTCTGTTTCTGTTTCCGGCAGTCTTTACTTAGCTGTCTTAAAGAACCAGACACAATCCATTATTAGATCAAATTTTCCTTGAAATGACGAGGAGTGTAGCTCAAAACCTAAAAACATGTTTTGAAGGACAGAAAGAAAACAGCAAAAAGGTCTTGTTCGACTTCAAAATTAGATTTGTTTTGTGTAGTTTTACCAGTTTAAAATTAACGGCAGCTGCTCGCAAAGACAATTATCAATAATTGTTGAGCCCCAGAGCCAATTAAAGCTCATGAGTTTAAGGACTTCATGCATATAGTCATTATTGTTAGACGTTTGTTTTTAAAACAAATACAGTATGTTACTTCTGAACCAGAATTATAGTAAAATATAGAACCTTTCAATGCCTTACAGCATTTCAGTCTAGAAATGAGGGAGGATGTAGTATTTTGAGAAAAAAGCCAAAGAGTTGAACTTATCATGTTGAAGATGTGCAGGAATGTTTCAGAGTCAGGTCAGCGTGTATCTGTATTCATTTTACTTTGAATTGTTGCTTTTTGTGGGGTGGGGGGGGGTCCTGTATACATGTCAGGGCTTTTTCTTTTTATCTGCAGATATTTGTGTCTGTGGTAATAATTTGCTTTGACAGTATATTAGTACATTACACTTCAAGAAGCAGTTTTAAACTTTACAAAAGTTGTTAAAATATCTTGTTTTAATTGAGAACTTGGGAAAATGAGTAACTGCTAAGTTCAAGAGTGAACTGAGCTCATAGTTAAGCGTCAGGTCAAATTTAGTGGAATGTATGACAAACACAAAGTGTGTAACCAAAAAACAAAGCTTTTAATTGACATTTAGTTTCATGTTAGTTGACTCTGCTGTGGTCACGAGCATTTATCAGCTTCATCTCTGAGCTTTATTCTGTAATCTTTAATCAGGATACACCAGTGGGCATAACTCACTTTTTTCATGCCGCTGTGTCGGTTGATTTGGAAATGACTCACTAACCTCCATGTGAACACCAGATGCAGGTTTTTAAGGCAAATTATTGGATTGTAACAAAACGAGCAGTTTTTCAGTCGGTCTGTGGTTAATAATGAGTTTTAGCTGATCTGTGAGTAAATGCAGCCATTCTGAAGTTTTTACATTATGTAAATGGGCAAAACAGCTAAAGAGAAAAATGTCACGTTAAGAATGATTGTTCACTTTTTTGTATTCATCACAAAAACATCTTTTCACAAAGGATAGTTAGAGCTGGATGGGATGGAAAAAGAAACCGATTGTTTTGTTTGCATTTTGAAAACACCTGTTGTAACTTCACTCAGGAATATGCCCAAGACTAGCTGACTGTATCTTTAGGTGACTCCACTGCTCTAAAACAAACTAAAACAAGTGTACTGTTTGTTTTTTAATTAATGTTTGTGAATGGAAACTTGATTTGAAACAGAAGTCTAAAACCTTTTTGGCTAATCCTAAATGGCTGCACCATTTGCTGTAACTGTGATACATTTATCAAGATTCTGTTGTCCAAAAAATATTTATTTATAGGATATATCCCGTCTGACAAGTGTCACCTCAGCCTGTTCGTACACGACACAACTACTTTAAGTGGCCGGATGGTGAACCACATGTTTTCCACTCTGGTATTTTTCTTGAAAATTGTAAAACTCTTGCAACAGAGTTTTGTCTTTTGGACTGTGTTGTGTTGTGTTTGTCGTTTTAGTTGTCTTGCTTGTATTTTAGAGCTCTGCTTTGTTTTGTGTGAACCTTGTTTGTACATATGTGAGGGTATTAAAATGTTACAAATGTCAATATGGTTTTAATGTTTTTATTGGGGGAGTGTTGACTTTTCTTAATAAAGTGTGTTCACAAAATTCTAGTCATTTAAGAGCACGCCCTTTAAATGCGCCTCATCGTTAAATGTTCTGAAAACCACAATAGTCAAGAACGCTGAAATAAATAGAAATAGGAAATAAAATTCAAAAAGGAAATAATGTGTGAAATAAAATTAAAATATGGATCTCTTAAAATATTTGTAAATTTACTTTGTTTATTTGGCTTTAGTCAGTTAGCTCTATATGTTTTGTAAATGTATTTTATTACTCTTACATTTTCCCATAGCTTTACTTTTTTCCCAGTCAAAAGACAAAATGCCAGAACCTGGCAGGTGAATAATAATATATAATAATATATAAAACCTTGGAACTTCATATTTATTTCAAGCAGTTTAAAAAAAGTCATACCTTTTTAAATGTTCTCGTTTGTTTTCATATTCATGTGTTTCCTTTTTATTTCTTTGGACCATTACTTGCTGTCATACATCATCATATCCACTTTATTCCTAACTCCCATGGTGCCTTGCGTGAATTATGGGCACAACTTTTGACATAGACCAGAACCGGCGTTTGTTTTTGTGTGAACAGTACGAGCTAATGTAGTTTCTCTCCGAGCATCGTGGATTTAATGTAAACATGTAGGAACACCACCTGTCAGAGCTCAAACAGGACAATATAATCATACCCCTACAGGCGAGGGGTCGAGGACGACCTCAAGAAGTGGCCGCAGATGACTTCTACTAGCATATGTAGCTACTTCTACTAGCATATGTAGCTACATCTACTAGCAGATGTAGCTGCATCTACTAGCAGATGTAGCTGCATCTACTAGCATATGTAGCTGCATCTACTAGCATATGTAGCTACTTCTACTAGCATATGTAGCTACATCTACTAGCATATGTAGCTACATCT